TAAAATTACTTCTGTGTTCATTATAATTTTGTCTAAAGATTGACTGGTTCGACTATAAAGCTAAGTCAGTGTAAAACTGAAAAATACTCAGATTTTGGATTCATTTTTCGAATAGTTAACCCTCGTTGACCCTAAAATGACTTATTTTTTTATAATCCTTAATCATTTATTAATTAATATCTGTTAAAATTAGAATGGGCGAATTTAGGCCAATTTATGAAAATTGAAGTTGAAATATACTATACTTTTATAGGTCATGTAAGTGTTCCATTAAATTCGAAACTTTTCTTGGTGGAAAATATTAATATGTTTGATATTTTATGAGAGATGAATGTATCAGCTTTAAAATCAAAAAGATTGCGCAGCCATAGTGATTGACAGTATGTAGTGCCCATTGAGAAAAGAAGGTGCTCTCCATTTCGTCATGTTCAATTTTTTGGTCAACTATGCCTGTTGAAAATTTGATGGCGGGGAACACATGGGACTTCAAAGGCATCGCGCAAACGTTCTTTACGCGCTGCGGCAACTTTGATCTTGGTTCATTTGCATAGCGCTGCGTGCGCGTAGCTTTGCCGAGTGATCTCCTTCTCAATAATACCTCCATGCTTTATCTACGGCTCTGCACCATAGAGCTATTAAACATATTCTTATTCATAGAGATATAATAATAGCTCTATGTTCTTATTATATCTCTATGCTCTGCACACACCATAGAGCTATTATAGCTCTATGGCACACACTTGGTCTTTGGCGCCCTCAACGAACATAGACGTTTGATTACACTACGCTCGAGTATGTTGGTTCACACGCGCGATTTGAACCGCTCGACTTCGGACTTTGTTTACCAAGAGTTTAGTTGGTAGTCGAGAGAAAGGTGAAAAATGGGAAAGAAAAAAGAGAACGAAGCAAGTATGTAGGCTTAGGCTACAGTATTTCATATTATTTTAAAAGAGTAATATATGTGTTTTTAGAATTGTGGCTAGTTTCCATGTAATCTGTTTGGAATTAGGGCTTACTGAAAATGCTAGGCCTAGAGAGGCCAGCCTGAGCTTAGCCTAGGCACCTAGGCCTCCTAGTCGGTCTCATCCAGAAGATGAGACAATCGGGCCAAGGCGTTTGAGGTTGATCAGGCCCACTTTATCACACAGTTGTGCCCTTCTGTCTAAATGAGGTTAGGCGATTCCTGGAGTGAGAAGGCCTTGATGATTGAAATGTAGACTGATTTCCATACATATTTTACATAAAATGAAATTAAAGCATTAGAGAACCGTAAATAGGATTTCAATTGCACGAATGATACCTCAAAAACCAGCTCAAATTTGCGAGGAAAATCGCTAGGAAAGCACGCAGAATCGTAAATACTGCATAAAAATACATTGTTTATTAAGATTAGGTCAAATCATAATTTTCGGAAAAATTGGCATGGAAATTGGCCCTTATTTTCGGATTTCTAAGCCAAATTTTTGGGCGGAGGATATATTCTCGACACATCACATATACAGTCTGGGGCAGTATGTATAAGTAAGGAAATGGATTTTTGTGTTGTAAATTTGTTTTTAATATATCAATTTACAGTACATTGTGTTTACTAAATTGTAGGTGAATCCTCAAGTAGTCCTCATAAAAAGCACAAGAAACATAAGCATAAGAAGCACAAGAAGAAGCGGAGTCATCATCCAAGTGAAGATGAGGGCGCTGTGATTATGCCTTCAGAGCCAAGCATCGGGGAGTCTGGAAAACCCCAGCTGAAACTTAAAATCAAATTGGGAGGATATACAATTCACACTAAAGAGTAAGTGGGAAGAGCGGGAAGGCATTTTAGATTAATGGTTTCTCTTGGAACATGGGAATTGGTGTATTAATTTTTTTCTTTTTTTTCTTTCTATCTTAATTTTATTTTGTATTGAAATTGACTTGTTTTCATATTCCCTAAATATTATTAAATATAACTTTCCAAATGTCAGTCTTACTTTTTAGTTTATACCCTTGTGCAAAAGTAAAAATATTGAAGATATTTCTGGGAGTGGGTAATGCCAGAAGGGTCAATGGGCACAGTAGAAACTGATTTCATTGGAAAACACTTCTTTGAAAAAGGACTTTTACAGTCTGAGAGTGCACAATTACAAGAACCTCATTCCTTTACTGACTATTAGTATGAATAACCATGGAGGAATAACTTATTTTCTTTTTGCTTTTTTTAGAGTCTCTCGGTCTTCAATTCTTGATGCTCACTTACTTGATGATCACTTGGACCAGCATTCTGGTAAGAATATACTATTAACTGTCATTATTGTTAATATTTATATAATATTGTTCTTATTGATAATCTATTATTGAAATGAATATGATTTTTTTTTCAAAATTTGCCTTTTTCATCAGAGTGTTTCATATAATATATAAGTACTTCAATTAATGTTATATTTATTTTTTCAAAATAATTGTTCATGTAAGGCTTATAGCCAGGATTCCTTAAAAAAAACCTTTATTATTGCTATAGGATTCTTATAGGATTTCTATAAGACACATGTTATTATTTGTGAAACCTATATTATAATTTTATAGACCTAGGATTATTCAAGAAACCTATAAGATTTCTATACAGTATCCTCCTACAGTACAAGATATTTGTTGTAAGGCGACCAGTAAGCATTTATTAGTTTTCACCTACTTTTAATTGCAAATACTAATTTTGGTTCCTTCTAGAAATTGCTGGAAGCAGTCACCATCACCATAAAGTGAAGACAAAGGATAGAGAGGAGGAAGCTTGGTTAAATGCACTTGAAAAGGGGGAGTTAGATGACATTGGGGAATTGAAAAAGATGAGGGACCCTGCAAACTTAACTGCCAGACAGGTCAGTATCAGTTATGAGGAATTTCTGCCATTCTTTTTAATTTTAAAATGCAATTCATCTTAATATTTACAGCAGAATATTACTTGGTTTGCTGACTTTTACTAGAGTGTGTTTGTGTACGAAACAAAATATTGTCCTTGTTTAAATGAAAGTATTTTTTTGAACAGTAAAATAATCTAATTTAATGGAAAACATTACCTATTATTGGTTTTTCTTTTTATTAACCTGCCCACATTTTCTAACAAATGTTTTTATTTGTCATTTTCCCAGAGAGCTATGTTGCACGGATTGAGTGCTGAAGAGGAACAAAAACTACTGCAGTTACCCACTGGCCAAAAACCTGCAGAAATAACAGAAGAAATGCTTGAAAAGAGAGCAGAAAGAGCATTAAAGAGGCGCCAACAGGCAAAAAAGAAATCTGAGGAAAATAAAGTATGTTTGTTGCATTATTTTTCCTTTTTTTTTTAGTGTTGTTGAATGCTGTTAATTTTGGGTGTGCCAAACACAAGTATTCCAAAGATCAACTTTAGTTTATTTTACAAGCAGATGCACTTATTTTGTTTAAGTAACATATAACGTTCGTTCTATGATGTTATGATTTATTATATATAAAATTTCAGATTATATTATTTATTCCTTTTTCTCTTCTTCCATAATCTTTACAGAAACTCACCCTTGAACGACTTTTGAGGAAACAAGAAATAAAATCAAAACTTGAAAAGGTAAACTGAAATTTCTGTATATATGTTTTTCTTCAGTAAAAGAAAAAAAATGATACTAATTATATATAATTTGAAAGGAAAGTTTAATGCAAGTATTATTAAATATATACTGTCTATGGTAAAACTTGTAATTAAAAAAAAAAAACGATATTTGAATTGATTGCATTGTATATTTAAGCAAAATAGATCCTTTATTCTGTGCACCAATAATTAACTTTGTAGATGGTTCTACATTGTTTTGGGATTTTTATTTCCTTTCAAATTGTTAATTTACACTGAGGAACGGCCTTCCAATCCCAGGGTCCTGGGTTCAAATCCTTGGACAGCACAGGATTTCCTCTCACATCCACTACCTAAGCCTCATAATGAGGCTTAGTTTATAGAACACCTTGCTTATTATTTTGATTTTAGTATTTTTAAAGGTCCCCTGAATATTACCTTAGCTGGAAAGTTCACCCTCTATAAGTATATTACTGCATTTAAAAAGAAAAAACAGTTCTCAAACAAGGCTGATGTTATTAAGCTTTATAAATTTCATAATAAGGATTAGTAAGTAATCTGTTCTCAGTTTTGAGAAAAACATTGCTTGAAAATGTATAAACCTGCAACAATGGATTTGAAGAGGAAGCACCTTTAACCACTAAAATACTCTGCTAAACATTATTGCATATACGTCCAATGACTAGGGAACAGAAACCATTCTTGGTTTTTTAGTGATTAATGGTTATGTAATTAGACTTAAAATACGTAAATTTTGATTTGATGTTTTTATTTCAGGCGAAGCATAAAAAGAAAGGAAATATTCCATTTGTGCGGTATATCAATAGTTTGAAGGGAGTTAGTCTCAACTACCCTGAAGGCTTAGCGTTTCCCTTAGCACAAAAACCTTCCAAGTAAGTAATTTCTGCTACTAGAGTAGATAAATTGTTTAAAAAAAACAAAATTGCTTTAATATGTACTGTACTACCATTTACATTATGTTCACTTTTATCACTTTTTTTTTATTGTGGTGCCTACAAGGAAATAAAAATGTAGTCATCATTTTAATGAAGATATTTGGTATTATGTATAGTAAAATTTATTTTTATTAGACCAGTCTATTAACGTTCCAACATTTTTTCTTTTTATTTTTGCAGGCCAGTCCCATCATTGAAAACATGTGGAGTAGAAGGCTGCCTTAACATGAAGCGGTATACCTGCTCTAAGACTTCTGTACCACTCTGCAGTTTGCAATGCTATCAAAAGAACTTGCTTGTCATGAACAGATCATGATATCAAGATTTCTAGAAATGCAATTCACTTTAATTTATTTATGAGCCAAGGATTGTCAGTAGCGAATATTTGTGATTGTCTTATAGGTACTGTATAATTGACAATCACTTTCATGACACATACTCTACATATACACGTGCTACAAGTGTTTGGAACTTCTGGCTCGCCGAGTCATAAAGCATTGGCTTCTTTAGAAGTCCCAGGACCTTGTTTGAGGTGTTATAAATATATTAAATGAAAAATAATCTGTCTCTGTATGAAGCTTAAAAATTAGAGTTGATTTTGGTTGCGAATTCCTATTATTTACAGGATTTGAATCCATACCACTGGACCATGGTATTGGAAGGCAAACATCTGAACCACCAAGCTACAAATCCCAAGTTTATATCATAATAGCAAATTCAGAGGGGAGCATCGGTGGCAAATGTAAGGTTTTTTTTTTGCTGGGATAGTAGGACCTATGGTCAGACAGGGAAAGTGTTCCCTTTCCTATTGTAGGAGCGGTTTGGTGTTGCGGTTCACAACCCAGAAGTTGTAGCTTCAATCGCTCGCTGTGTATTCCGCTTGTGCCCTTATAGGCAAGGCACTTTACCTACAATTGTCTGTCCACCCAGGAGGACATGTAGAAGGTTCAAACACTAAATGAGGTTTTGCACATGAACGAATACGTGCCCATTTTCTTCTCTCATTATGCTTCTCAAAATCAGATTTTGGCGTGTCCTAAAGTTTTGGTATGTAAGGTTTTGGAAGTGGTAGCGGAATAATACTCCTTCGCTTGTTGCCCAGAAGAGTTGGTTATTTCGTGACCCAAAAATGCCTGGCTACTATACTATAAGCTATTCCTAGGTTGGCCCCCTACCCTAGCTAGGCCCGAGGCCTACAGGAAAACCCTGACACCACCATGCACCAGTGTTTTTCAATACCCCAAAATGAGATGCATCCTATTGTAACTTGCTGTATTCAAAAGTCCACAAAAATGGCACACATGTATTAAAGATACTTTTTCATGTACGTGTAGTGAGCGAGATTTGCGTGTCGTCCACACGGTTAGTGGATAGCTATCGGCGTAATACGTCACACTAACCTCCCTATTATGCAATTCTCCCCAATGGCCAGGGGTAATAATGATTTCACACTTTTTACACTTACACTTTTTTGGCTGCTGTTATAGGAAAGCTCCCCTTTTTATACCCCCTGGATCCAGAACTTGGAATGGCAAATATGTGTCCCTTTCCAAGTTGTCAAAATTTAGAATTCTTTAAATAAAATGCATTCTTTAAAGCAGAGTGTTCACATCCATTTCTTCATACTGTTATTAAAATCCACTTATTGACTACATATTTCACCTTGTGTTGGCACAGTGGGTTAACATTAAAACACAGAGATGGCAGTTCAAATCCCATTCTGTTAATTTTCTTGGTTAAATGTTGTCTGTAGTCGCCACCTGAGATCATAATTGGCTTGTCGTACCGATGTAATGTATTGCTCTGGACAGTTCAAATGCCTAATATATCTACAGAACAGTGGCAGTTCCAGAAACTTTCTGCTTGGGGTTGGATAGTGATGGGGTGAGCAGGAGTCTTGTAGTCAGCTGAAATATCAATAATTGATATGATTTTTTACAAATACTAATTTTGTTATTAAAATTGTTTATAAACATGTGAAGGCTTTAAATTGTTTATTTAATTCACTTATGTACACTTCAAACTACAGCACTGTGTTTCAATTCTTAATTTATTCAATAACATGATTTCAAACAAACTCAAAATACATTTTTAGATTTCTTACATTACGATATAGAACATGTAATATGACATTTAAATATTCTCCTAATCACAATTTGTCTCAAAGACAACACATATTATCTCTTTAGCACCAAATCACATGAAATACAACACAAAGTAAATATGCTCAAGAGTATGAAGTAACAAAACAAACATATAAAAGTTAAAAAGAATACTGTATTTCTGAAGCTATACCTTACTATGAAGGTGTATAGTCCAGCAAGTGATATAAAGGTTACAGTACTAGAAAATTCAAGTCATATGGTGTACAAACTTCTTAAAATATACATTGCATGTGAATACTGTATTTACAAAAGTGTACATTAAACACTAGAATCAAATACTTGACCTAACCTCATGTATATTCATTATATAAATATTCATCACACAACACTTTCATCCATAACAGTTGCTTCTTCAAGCAAGCAATTCCAATGGTAATGACCTTTACAGCAATAATGAAATTAAACTTGATTGTTAACATGCGATATTTAAAAAAATGTATAAATATGCTACAAACTATATACGACTTTGAAATAAACCTAAATGTTATCAAAATAGATATAGTTGATTATATCAGTAATAAGTGATATTTAAGAAGTACTTTTAGACAAAATCCACAGAGAGAGGTATATGGCTTGCTTTCAAACTTCTTAAAATATACATTGCATGTAAATACTGTATTTACAAAAGTGTACATTAAACACCAGAAGCAAATACTTGACCTAACCTCATGAATATTCATCATATAAATATTCAATATTCATCACACAATACTTTCATCCATAACAGTTGCTTCTTCAAGCAAGCAATTCTAATGGTAATGACCTTTACAGAAATTAAACTTGATTGTCAACATGCGATATTTAAAAAAATTTATAAATATGCTACAAACTATATACGACTTCGAAATAAACCTAAATGTTATCAAAATAGATTTAGTTGAGTATATCAGTAATAAATGATATTTAAGAAGTACTTTTAGACAAAATCCACAGAGAGAGGTATATGGCTTGCTTTCAATTTTTAAATACTTTCATAATCCACAAAATACATTATATTCTTATTTCAACGTGTTAAGATTTTCATTCAGATAACAACATGAAGGAAATCGCAAACCTGAAAGATAGAAAAAGGGATACAAATTATTTGATTTAACAAGGTCAACATCTTGGGATTGTCAGGTCTGACAATATCAGCATCAGATCAATTGTTATTGCCATCAACAAGTAATAACATTATAAATATTATGTTCATCATCACCATGATGATGATGAATAAGCGAAGATAAGAAGTGATCTCACATTTGTGGTTGCATGGTCACTGCTTGTTTTTTTATTTGACGCATTTTTGTATTACCCATTTTTCTAGGAGCAGACTTGGCTCCCCAAGTCTCATCCCCCTCTTAGACAGCTTAGTGCACATTCCCCCTCCCCACCACTGTGAAAATCTTGGCACCAGTGCAGAGCTACCAAATTTCACTAGAATCTGGTAGATTGAGCACTATTTGGGCTGCCTGGTGTCAGACACATGAGATCAAGAATATTACTTTTTAACTTATTTACCTTACAGGCCATCAGCAAATTCTGACTGCCCACCATGTCCAGCGAGCCGACTGAGAATATAGGTTGCCCAAGACACATAGTACTGCTATGTTGCTCCACTCCATCACTCAACTGTTGCTTTACATTATTCAGGGTTAAACAATCTTGCTATATAAATAAGAGCATGAGAAGAAAATTAAATACAACAATGGCATTACTTACATTATCTGGAGTGGAATTGAATAGATTTGGGAATGGAGTTGAACAGCCTGGTAGTTAAGATGCTTGCCTTCCATCCCAGGGTCCTGCGTTTAATTCATGTCAGTCAATTTTTTCTCACAACCAAAACACTACTCCCGAAACCTTATGTTGCATTGTGTGTGTTATGTTTTTCTTATGAAAGGTATAGTCATTTACAATAAGTACGACAGTAATATATTCGTTATTGACAATGATTGGTGCATGTGTTGTTTGCCTAAATAACTAAATATTTAAAAATAAATATATTTGATCAAGAATATAAAAACTGCTTTAGCACTAGTGTTTCCGCAGCCTGAAATTAGTAATAAGGCACCAGCCATTGTAGTTATAACCCTTCATCGCAAAGTTTTTCACAGAGGCTTTCCATCCCTGAGGGATAGAGGCTCTAATGCTTTGATTGGATGGTAATCCCACTAACTAGGCTACAGCTCTAGTGTATATTATCTTAACAGTACTAAAACACAATTAATGGAAAAACTACTGACCTCTGTCTGAATCCTCACTCCACATGCACAAAATATGACACCTTTGTTTTCCATTAGTGCATTCCTAAAAGAAGTTGAAAACAACACAATTAGGCCTTTGAATATTCATATATTCATGGAACATCCAATATGCATAAGCCAATGATCAATTAACCATCAAAACCTGATCTATAGACTAAAAATAATACAGTACTGTATATTGCATATTCATTGCTAAACTTCTATGCGCTTTAGATTTACACTGAAAACTGAAATTGCACTTATCTATAATCTGTGAAATGCTCATAGTGCATACTGTACAGTTGACGGTAAAAAGTGAAAATAATGTTGATCTATCATAAACTACTGGTACAATAGATAAAATACCGTAGGGATCTGTAGATATGGTGGGCGGGGCCACCCAGCCTTGAAGTTTTCCACCCAGTCTAAAGCTAAAATCATAGCCCTCCACCCACCCTTATTAACCCCCTTGCCCATCCATATAATCCACTATTCAGCATGGTTTCCATAAAATCGCTACACAGTCGCTACAGTGTTTTCAGTGCAATCGTCGTACTGAGTAGCAGTCAGCGACTCAATCGAGAAGGCTCCCCAATACGACCAACCAATCAGCATCACCGAAAGCTGTCGGCAATAGCGTGTAGCGATTGTACAGAAACTTATTTATAGTTTTGACCAATGTTATTATCCACCCTCCCTTAAAATGTCTACCTACCACCCACCCTTAGTTTCTACAGCTACAACCATGTACCATATGAACTAACCGTTTGCAGATTGGACAAGTGACCTCATCAGTGTTCATCTTAGCAACAGAAGCACACAAGACCTCCTCTTCATGTTTCAAATGAGCCTCATACTCTGACAACAAAGATTGTTCTGAAAAACAAAACATGAACATAAATACTAGTATATGGAAAATGCTCTAATGATAGGTTTATTATATTTTATGTCATGTCCATAGGATTCATATTATTAGTAGAAGCAGGACAATTTTAACTAAACATACATAACTAGATATTAAATGGTGACCTAATTTTAAAAGATGCAAATAAAATGCTGATAAATGATAAACTACCGGTACAATAAATAAAATTCCGTAGGGATGTAGATATAGTGGGCGGGGCCACACAGCCTTGAAGTTTTCCACCCAGTCTAAAGCTAAATTCATAGCCCTCTACCCACCCTTAATAACCCCCTTGCCGATCAATATAATCCACAATTCAGCCTGCTTTCCTTAGGATTCATATTATTAGTGGAAGCACGACAATTTTAACTAAACATACATAACTAGATATTAAATGGTGACCTAATTTTAAAAGATGCAAATAAAATGCCAATATAAATAAATAAATACAAGTTTGCACAATAAAATAATGTTCATGAGACAGGATAGCACTGGATTACATGGATACGAATGGCAAGAAATAAGGTCTTGAACTGACAGTTAATATGAAAAATAAAATGGTAGTGGTAGTAATGAGCAGTACAGTAGGGCATTAAAGCAGTGGTAGCAGCAAGGAATAACTATAGTCAGCCTGATTACCGATATCAAGTATTTTACATAAAATTGCTACCAAGAGTCCCCGATTAATGTGATAAGAACCACTATAGTAGCATTATTTACCTTCTTTCATAAGTTCATGTTGAATTTCTTCCATGATGCTTAGAACTGTATCGATATCATCAATACCTTCAACAAGCTGTAGAGAGTGAAAAAAAAAAGATAAATTTGGTAGTGACTTGAAATAAAAAACAGAGGAAAACGAGTGGTAAAGCAGGGGTACTGTTAACTACAGCCTTAGCTTATGCCTACTATACTCTGTTCTCTTCTCCCATCATGCTTTTCAAACTTTTATTAGTATATGTAAGGTTTTGGAAATTGAAATTGAAAATTGTAGCCGAAAAACACTTCATTTGTTGCCCAGATGTGTTGGTTATTTTGAGATAGGCCCTATTGTTTATGACCCAAAAGTGCCTGGCTAAAAGTAGGCCTAGGACTACACAAAGTTCTGACACAACCAAGGTCAAAGCACCGATGCATTTATACCCCAAAATGAAACGCATCCTATCGTAATTTGCTGTCTTTCAATGTCACAAAAATGGCACGTACATATTCAAAGATACATGTATTTTTTACACTTACGTAAAATGTAAAAAAATAAGATCCTACTAGAAATCCAAAATTTCCCTACGCGTTTTTCGCTAACATGTAGTGAGCAAGATATGCGTGTCGTCCACAGATTTAGCAGATAGCAGCCGGCGAATGATGACATATCCGTCACACTAAATGTATGCATTCGCGTGCGAAACCTCCCTAATACAGCGCAATGATATTACGAGATGAGTTATTCTACATTTACCTCTTGAGCTATAATTGTAAAACACGGAAATTAACACAGAGCCTAACTAATTGCTTTGTGTATCTGGATACTGATAACTTATTTAAATGTATGAATTGTTATTTCAAACAAGTAGCTGTGACATTGTTTGAATTAGATGTTTTATTGAAGCTTACATCAGGTACATCAGTGCATCTTCGTTCCGCTCTCAGAACACGCCACTCCTTTTCCATGACGTCAGTGACAACAGATGGCAGCTTCCCTTCGTGCATTGGTGCCCCCGAGCATCGTAAACGATCTAGCAAATTGTCTCGACTTTTGCGCAGTCTTTGAAGGCATCGCTGTAAAACAAGAAGTATGTAATATTATAATCAGGTTATGGAATAATAGATAGCCAATCAATTGGATGTGGACAGTGCAGAACTTCCCTGAAACTCAAAATGTGGGAAACAGCAATGGTGAAAGGTGACCCTCCCCTTTCTGCCCCCACCACCAGCCAGCTGCATGCATAATTTTTTTTTCACATTGACTCTTTACAAAAAAGCAACTAGGCCTAATGAATATATTCGGTGTAAACACCGAGGATAACCCACGAAAGTCTAGAAGAAGACTTGTTCCCAATGGGTTCCTTCTGGTGGCGATTGGGCAGTACACCGGGAGACAAACCCCTAATTTTTCCGAAGAGTGTACTGCATTCTTTAACGTGCACATAGGCCATTATGTACACGGGACCAACGGCTTAAACGTCTCATCCGAAAAACAGTGTCCTATTATAACTTGCATTCAGTCCTCCAGCTGAAATACAAGAGCAGCAGATGGAAATTTAACCTCCCTCCCCCCCCCCACCCACACAAATTGCTGTTTTGTGGGTGGGGAGGGGAAGGTTTGTTTGACGAACTTGACAAATCCCGAGACAGGAAGATTACTTACATGATAATGTGGGAGACTGAAGTTGTTATAAGTTATTGAATGTAGCTGCAGTACATGAATCGACACTTCATTTTCAGACTTCAAGTTCAGTAACATTGTCAAAACACTAACCACACACAGTCTTATGTGGTTACTTTGGTGAGTATCTTTTTTATTATGCAATTCAATAAAAATAGCACAGCACAAAATTACTGAATAATAATAGTATACTTCTTTTTAATAATAGTCTAGAAAACAAAATTTTAAAAAGGAAAAAAAAATTATAAGGAACTATGAACAAAGGTTATAAAAGTCAATACAAAATTATACAGGAGTCCATTAGGCCTAGGCCTATCTATATCACCAGAGACTACCAACGAGTCGGGGAACGAGTACCACACCAATCTTGACCTGGGGAAATTCGTATACCACCAACTAAGCCTAGGCTACCTAGGCCACAGATTTCACAATATGGGAACGTCACTTGTAATCATACCTTGCGATACGTTTCTTTCCATGATGGAGGCGTAGTTGCTTTATAAAGTGCTCGATGATCACGCTCCCATTTTGCAGATGTTGGACTTGAAAATTTAGAAGAACTATCAACTTCCATTGGGGCTGCCATTAAAAAATTGTCAACCTTCTCTGCTGCGTCGGGCGTCAAAGACCAATGCTGAGAGTGTGCGAAGTGAACCAATACAATACAGTGCGATACTTAGGTTGTTGAGCCGGAAGCTCTTTATTAGCCCGAAATAGTCATGACCAGCTTTATGCATATTCATTATAATTTACCTTTATTTTGCCATAATAATTTCAGATTGTTTTGATCATAAAGAAAATATCGTACTTATTACTTTTGGTACCAATGCCTATTTTACATTAATATTAAAGGTAAAAGATAGGTAGAATAATGTTTCTCCTTGTTGTGTTGCCTTATTTTCATAGAGAATGGAACAATGACTTGTTACATTAGACGATAAATTCATAATTATTTTCCTAGTGTTTTTTTTTTATTTCAACCATATTTAACGAGGGTGACCCGTTCATCTCCCCATTGCTGAAGAGCTGATATCAAGGGGCCCTTACAACATAAATGCATACAATAAAATACATTAGTACAAACTGGTTGCACAAAATACCCTACCACTGCATTACGAATTTATAATCAATATATACATATAATGGTGATGATGAATTTAAAAAAAAACCACAAAAAATGTAATTGTCAAAAAAATGTGATTTTATAGCGTGATACAGCTTGAGAATGAAGATCACATAAATGTTGACTTATTACTTGTTGCGTACCGGTATGCAATCTTGAAAAAAAAAAAAAAAAACGTGTCCTATGGGAAAACCCTACCACTTGGTAGAATATCCGAATGCTATCGGATTGGGTTCGAATACTGAAGGGGACATACGTTTTTCTCAAATATTTATTTTCTTGATTTACAGACATGTTAATTACCGGTACTATGAAATTATGTAACAACTTGTGTAAGGGTATATGCAAAACAACATAGAAAATGTATTTAAACGTCAGTTAATTGGCCATTACATCGTTTTTTTACTAATTTTTAATTGAAACCTAACAGCTAAAGTTCGATAGTATGCATTTGATACTTAAAATTCTGTATTGAATTCGATTTTACAGTTTGCTCAGAGATGGTATGAATAATCTGTTGTAATGGACATTTGATTATAATAATAAAATATATTTATTAGTGATGTTGATTTTGGGGTACGGAAATTACTGGTCAGTCAAACACTTCCCAGGGACTTCCCATTTAGGCCTTATTTAAGACACTTTTTGACAAAAATGAAAAATTAGGACTTTGTTACCCAATGTGAAGTGTTCTAATATAGACAATGGGTCGTGTCTCATATTATTTGTCATATTTTTATTTTTCATTATTTTCACTTGACACGCATAAATAATTTTGTTCGAAGAACATTTATATGCAGTTGTACTTCGCAGCACTTCACTTGCAATTTGCAATTTCTAGTAAATATTATTTTTACAGTACCTGTATTATTTTGTGTTTACGCCCTCTTTTGTTTTTAGCGATGAGCTTGAGTACGCTGCGTAGGTTGAAGTTCCTAAAACCTGGTATCGTTGTTGACATCGGGCGTAGATCCAGAAAACAGTTCCAGTGCGAAAGTAGGCAGATAGTAATCCAAAATTCCGGTTGCATATCGGAACAAAACCGGGCAGATAAGGTAATTCTTAAATAAATTTGATGTGTATATATACCCAAAAAGACACGTATAGATGTACCTGTATGTTCAGTTAGAATTTGTTGGACAAAATGTATTTCGAAACAGCTGTTGTTCTCCTGTGGTGTACACAGGATGCAGATGAAAATGGTTGACAGGCGATACAGCTACCTGTAGGAGAAGCACTGTTCAATAGTAATTTTCCAGTTACTTCAACAATATATAACTTGTTACCGTTTCGATACTGTTTTTTATAATGTAAATAAAATTTAATTAAGCGTCAGTATTGCAATAATAAATAAAAGGCCTGAAAAGTTTGGACGGTGGATCAAAATTCAATCAAGGATGATACCAGCTTTTAGCCTTGATCTGTTTGAGTGGCAGTCTACCGGGTGGCGGGTCCATGAGGTGGCGAAAGGGGAACCCCCGGCGCAGTAGCGTAATGCATACCGTAGTATAATAAAGTCTTACTGATATAAATCAGCAATTTTTTCGGCCAGGATCATGGCCTAGTGGCACCCCTTACATTGAAGAATGTGTATTCCATGGGGAATGCAATGGCGCAACGTGTGACGATCGGATCATTTTTATGACGATTCCTTCACATTGCCACCCATAATTAGCCGTATCCAGTGGTAAACAGTCTGGTAAATACCGCATTTATTTGAATAGGGCTTATTTTACAGTATTGTTGAGAAGTGTTTTTGAGGGGGCGTTTATGCGAGGGAGTAGGCATTTATTTTGAGATGGCTGTTTATTTTCGTGTATTTTCATGTATATACCTCAAATAAATACCTCTTAATTTTTCAGTAAATGTGGAAAAAAATTGCTGTTAAAATGTGTTATTGCAGGATCATAAAAACTTACCTCGACTAGGTTAGAAAAAAATGTAATTCCACTTAAATGGTGTTGAGAAAGATGTTGCTTTCATTAGTTTGGTCATTTTTGTGGGGGAGGGGCCATTTATTTAATTAAAAAAATGAACACCCCAGGGCATTTATTCAAGGAGAACATTTATTCAAAGTGGGATGTTTATTCAAATAAATATTTTATTAGAAATTGTTTTTTTATAAAAGAAGTAAATAAATCTTTTTTAATGTATTCGGGCATTTATGTTTGCACTTTTCTTTAAAGCCCCATTCCCGGCAAAATTTCAGTTGTTAAAAAAAATCTAATTTTTGTGTAATGTTATAAAGATTTATAAATATAATATGGAATTGCTAGTTTAACGGAATTTAGACATTCCTATCTAATGAAAAAAATGTGAAATAAGACTGAAATTTGATTTTTTGTGTTCCACACAAAAAATAAATGCGGATGAATTTTCATGTTTGATTTTGCAATAGGTCGTGAGAAGAAATATCGTAGGCGCCAAAAACATTAGCATATCCAACACTGCTAGGCTAAGCCTAGCCTTACCTCTATTTAGGTTCTGTTATCACACATAAAAACGGCCGACATAATATTTTCCGTTGCTAGTAATGACACTTGTGAAATGTAATATTTCATAGGAATTATTTCAAATTTTTTTAAAAACTGATTCTGACTGAGATTTTGACACTTAAACAAACATATCTCAACATTAATCGAACTACCGCATTGTGCGAGATGCGAAGTACAAAAACTAATCTCATTAGAGAGAGCACACATTATTGACTGTATAAAGTATACATAAAAGCGAGAGTATTCCAGTGGATGCGATCTACAACCTCTGAATTTGCCTAGTAACGATGAATTCGTTGAGAAAATGGTAATATTTTATGAGAAATAGTCTGTATTTCTCATTTTTTTTTATTCTTTTGCATAATCTAAAATTCATGCCAATATTTTTCCATGATTTATAATAATTGGAGTAATGCAAACGCATATTTTCTATTAAAAAAAATAAGTTTTTAGTGAAATTTTGCCGGGAATGGGGCTTTAAGCTTTGACAACAATCCTTCAGATTGTAGAACTTAATTTTTAATGGAAAAATAATGGGGCTTTTTTAAAACAGCAAATAATGAATTTTTTCACACGACACTCTAAAATTTCATGAGAGTGGGGAATTGAAATTATCAATAATACTTTTTGGCGTAAAGTACAATTCAATGTGGAATGCTATTAGCTTCCAACCCATTCCCAGTAGATTCATCTAACATAAGTTACAATATGAATTCGTAAAGTGGACATAAGGCAAAACTAAATATGTAATGTAATGTAGTGGGATTTGGTATAATATATATTGTTTAGCTAAGCCACCAGTAACGATTATTTCAAATGAAAATAAAAATTTTATTTTTGGCCAATTAGTGCATCCACCCCAACATGAAAATGGAAATTTCAGAAAAAAGTAAAAGTTTTTTTTTTAATTTTTATTATGCCCAGCTCTGCCTTGATATCTCCAAAAATAAGATATGTATATTTCTTACTAATTATATAAATTTATAGCATTTAACCATCCCACTGTTTACATTCACCAATAAAATTTTTGTTTTATCTTTTCTGTCTGGATATTTTTGGCAAAACTCTTTGCTAGATAAAACAATTAATTTTTTTTTTTTCCACCCTCCTCTGATGATCTTTAAAAAAATAAGCTCGCAAAACAAGATATAAAAAAAGTCTCGCTTTAGCAAGACCTATATTTACTTGTCAATACTTAGTGGCGATTGAGACAGCGTCGTACATTATTTTTGTTTTCCAAACGCCTAAAAATAAACCTCTGAGCCGTTTTTGGGAGAATCAATTTTTTTTTCTTTTTTTACCTTCCAAAAAAAGGCGGGGGAGGGGGGATGGTTTCCACCTAAATCTATCCCTGCCTCGATGAGGGTACTAGAGAAGAGGGGGTGGGGGGAGAGAACAATATTTGATAGGCAAATTAATTTATTTTAATACACCAATGAGAAAGTTTGCTGAATATATAGGCCTATCACTAAATGGTGATCGGTTAGCATGAGCCCAGCCTTTGTTGTTATGCAAATATAATAATATTTGGAAAAGCAAACGCCTATCTTACTTTACTAGAAGTACTTGTATCAGTCTGCAGGAATAATTCTTCCTGGACTTGAAGCCTTAACACAACCTTGCTAGGGGTACTGTGTATATTTGAGCAAGTATTTGGATCTGTGGTGCTTTATTAGTGCAGATTTAAACATACTGTAATTATTAAATGATTATGGTATGTTTTATTTTTTTTTGTACTTCACTGTCAGTTGTAAGTACAATTATCCAATTCCCCTTCCTACTGTAATATAATGTTTGCGTATTCTAGAATTCATCTTAACCCATTATCTAGGAATTTAATACACAATTTTTCTGAGGGTACAGTATTGGATCAGTGGTGCTTCAAAGCAGATTTAAACACAATTATTAACGCTTGGCAAGCTTTATTTATTTTGTATTTCACTGTTCATTTGTAAGTACAATTATCCAATTCCCCCTTTCTACAGTAATTTGTTTCTGTATTCCAAGTTCATCTACACTATGTAGGAATTATATAATTTCTAATAATATTAAATTAAGTTTAATTGTTTTTGTTTCAAAATTTAAATTTAAATTTCTAATGATTCAGTTTGTATAAATATTTAAATTTCTGTTTATTTTTCTCATACAATACAAGCAGTTATATATAATTTATCTTTGTTATTATGGTAATTGTTAATACTGTTAATATTTTACAAGCTACAGTATGAAATTTAAATATTACATACCTGTATGTAGTTAATATTATACATGAATATGGTACATTGTTTATTAATTTAGTTTCTTAAATACCAGTACTTTATTAGAAAGCAGCCTAAGAAACTAGTTGGTCACACCCTCAAATTAAATTGATGCATAATGTTTTATAGTTTCCTTGAAACTTGTCTCAAAGCTATTAGCATGGTCATAGGAAAAGAAATGATCTTACATAGTTAAGACGCAATAATCCATACTGTGAGCTTTGTGAAGATAAAAAGATAAGCATAAAGTGGTATGTTAATAAGCAGTGACATGCTGGATTAAGAATTCTCTGGACCTGATTAAGAAATTATGCTTAGACGTATATAAAAACAGGCTTAAAATACTTTCTTTAAAAAAAAATAAATTTAAAAAAAATAAAAAATTGAACATTGGAAATATGTATCAGATGTAGTTGCAGAGAATTGTATTCTTCGAGCATTTTACAGAATATTTTGTAATTAAAACAAACAAATAAATCTGTATCAATTTCATTTTTAAAAGAAATGGTTATACTAGCAAAATAAAAATATATAAACTATAACTTCATCAAAGGTGATTTCATTATGTACATTGTTGGTTAAATGTGTAATAAACAGCCATATGGTCTTAAAACCAAGCTCCGGAAGAACAATTCTTTTTATATGTTGTACAACTGATTTTTCAAAGACACAAAAAGCATATTTGACAAAAAAAACTTGGAAGCAATTAATGAGATACAGATTTTTGAATATTTAAAAACTCGGGGGAAGAGGTCTCTCCCCCCCCCCCCCACCTCCCAATTTTTAAATATTACAAAAAAGAAAGAATGATTCTCACATTTTGCAATCTATACTCTCTGGGAAATATCCCAAACCCTGAACAATGTCCAGTTACTTAAACAGATGCATTAAAATACTTCCTATAGAATATTCTTTGCTAGCTTTAAATTGTCTGGCTGACAATTTTAAGTCATAAATTTCAAAAGCAGTGTTTCAATTTCATCTCATTGGAAGGCTGCCTTCCAATAATTCAATAAATTTATATTTTATTCATTAAAAAAAATCAAATTTTAATTCCAAATGGGCAGTGGACATATTTTTATCAGTCTTTTTCTTCTGTTGCACTTCATTTAAAACTCCTTTTTTCCAACAGTAACAATCACTCAGCGCTATTGACACTACTGTACACCTTGGTCACTTAAATAACCTTTTATAAATTTCCATTATTATTAACATCATCGTCATCATCATCATCATCATCAACATCATTATCATCAATAATATTATTAATATATTAAACACTATTTTTTTTAATGTGTTATAATTGGATTTGAAGTACCATAAATTATTCATTTTACTTGATATTTGGGATTGGAATTATTATTATATAATTAGCATGTTAGAACAGATAAATATTTGTTTGAATATCAGAAGTGTTATTAGCTTTATGGCTTCAATTTCTAGAAAAAAAAAAACCATCTACACTGTAGGAATATTTTAAATTAGTTTTAATGTAAATAGTTAATGTATCATCAAATATATAAATTATGTTTCTTGAAATTGAAAAATCCTTATAATGAGATGGTACCACATACTAAAAATAAAACAGCAATTTTTAAATGTCAGCTATACGAGATTGAATGTATGAGGGAAGGTTTGCCAGACACAACTGGCAAAAACTTCTGATATTTGATGCAAGTAATTATTCTTTATATAGCAAGTGCTTAGTGTCCAAATTGCTGTAAGTGGGTGTTTTTTTTTTAAATGTAAATTGGACACATTATCGTAAGCCAACTTGCCATTGCTCCTATCATAGTTAACATAGTTTCAACTAGTCCTTCAAAGCAAATTTTTGCCTATGAAAAAAGTCTGGATTTTAGATATAGAACTGAACATGGTATGTATGTGATTTATTCATATACAGTAATAAAAGGTTATAGAGAACAACACATGAATGTAATACAGAAAACAAGAAGTTGAATAGAGTTGACATTTTGATGACAGTGGGAAGTTGGTTAATCAGAAGCATCTTAACACGTTTGCTGCCAGCAATGAGTATACTCGTCCGACAGGGTGTTGCTAAGGGCGCCAGGGACGAATATATTTATCAAAATCGGGGTAACATTCTAGTGTTTATTACTTCTTTGTTATAAATTGTAGAACCACAGACTTAATGGCTGGTAGTTCGGGGGAGGTACACCTAGACAATAATGTACAAATGAAGTATGTATATGTTTGTTATGTTAGGTTGCTAGTAGTATACTCGAGTGGCACAAGTGGGGGCGCCCATTGAACACCCATGCAAAAAGCGGACGCAATAACTCGCACTTGGCATAGTCAATAATTGAAGTGCTGCCAATGTGCCGTCAACGAGTTTACTCGTCCCCTAATATTTTCCCGCCAATTTATTACACACATCATTTTGATGGTATATATGACTAGATAAAATTTCAGAAAAGTATGTTTGTACATGTAAACTTATTTTGGCACACGGGAAGGAACCTTAAAAATAGGTGTGGCAGTCAACGTGTTAATACTGTTTATTTATTTTTTTATTTATTTTTTTTACCCAATGTGAGGTTTCAAACCACAATATAGTGTGCAAGCACAACCCCAAATGGGAAGAAACACCATCAGTTTTTACTTTAAAACTCTTTAAAAGTTATCCAAGATTATAATAATTATTGATAAAGTAATTATAATAATGTATTATTATAATAAAATGATTATATATTTGGTATCATGAGCTAAAATAAAACAGCCGTTGTTAAATGTCAATCATAGGCTGAAGAGATTAATGTATGAGGGAAGGTTTTTCGAACACACAACTGAAAAAACTCCTGATATTGGATGCAAGTGATTATTCTTTATATAAAACAAGTGATTAAAGTGTCCAAATTGCAGTAAGTGGGTGTTGTTTTTATCACAGCTTAGACACATTAAGCCAACCTAGCCATTGCTCTTATCATAATATAGTTTCAACTATGGTATGGTCCTAGAAAATCTATGAAAAAAGTCTTTGAATTCTTTATGATGTACAGTACTGTTTATCATCTGCAGTGTACTGTAAAAATTGAGGGGTTTATTTTAGTTAGGTAATCATTATTTTTGATGTAAAATGAATATATATATATATATATATATAACATACTTAAAAATAAACAATAATGAATGTTTATTCAAGTAAAGTTTATTATAAACAATGAAAAAAATAAGCATAAATTTTAGTTTTACGCAAATGAATAAAAAAATAATGAGAAATACAGACTATTTCTCATAGGAGATTACCATTTTCTCGACGAATTTTTCATTACTAGGCAAATTCAGAGGTAGTAGATCGCATCCGCTGCAATGCTCTCGCTTTTATGTATACTTTATACAGTTAATAAAGTGCGCCCTCTCTATTGAAATTGGTTTTTGTACTTTGCATCTCACACACTGCGATTAATCGAGTAGGAAAGGAGATACTGTATGTTTAATTGTCAAAATCTCGGTCAGAATCATTTTTTAATAGATTTGAAATAATTCCTATGAAATATTATATTTCACATGTTTCAATACTAGCAACGGAAAATATCATGTCGGCCGTTTTTATGTGTGATAACAGGACCTAAATCGAAGTAAGACTAGCAGTGTTGGATAGGCTAATGTTTTCAGCGCCTACTATGTTTCTTTGCAGACCTGTCGCAAAATCAAACATGAAAAATCCATCCGCATTTATTTTTTGTGTGGAACACAAAAAAATCTCATTTCAGTCTTTATTTACATTTTTTTTTCATGTTTAGGAATGTCTAAATTCAGTTAAATTAGCAATTTCGTATTACATTTATAAATCTGTATAACATATATAAAAATCAGATTTTCTAAACTACTAAAAATTAAAATCTTGCCAGGAATAGGGCTTTAAATTATTCAAACTCAACCATCCAGATCTTTTCATTTCATTTTATTTATTTTTTCCGGAAAACACATAGAAATACAAAATCAGAGAAAAGCCACATGCTCGCCCGGAGGAATCCAACAGCAAACAGAATTCACTTTCAAGGGAAATCCTAACGAACAAGTGTCAGCAATAAAAACAGAAACATATAAATAGCAATATAAAAACAACGATAATGGTATTAATAATAATAATAATACCAATAATAAAACATTAGTGACATAGGTAAACCTAATTTGTTGCCATGTTGGTCAGACCAGGTATTAACAAGACATTCCTTTCCTTTTTCTTTCAAGCACTTATAGAAAAGTTTTAAAAAATGAATATACTGTATCCTAATATATTTTGATAATATCAAAATTCATTCATGTTAAGCCAAAAATCAGAGTTGTTTCTCACTAGTAGCTTTCTTTTCAATCACAAACATACACACTTGAAGCTTTAATGAAGAATATTTGATCATTTTACCGTATACTGTATCTATTGTACAATGCAAGGCAGCAAACCTAATTTGAATGTATATTACAATATGACTTCATTATATGTGACCACATTTTGTAGTGTAATTTCGACCATGCGTTTGTATTCTTAGTGAAGTGCCCTTTGGTATCGTTTTCTTCTCTTCTTGCAGGTTGACAAAAGATGATTATGCAAAATGTACATAGAAACATATGGAGACATATTCTGACAAAACCTGTGTGAGATAGTGCTGTATATAAATCCCGTGTAAATTGACCATATCGTAGCAAAACGTGAAGTTGTTATATATAGTGCTGAATTGTGCCCATTGATTGGTCTCTATTCAACATAATTATATCATCAGCATTTCAGTATAGGAGCATTGAACCTGCCTCAATTCGCAATAGCTCTGCTTATAATATCAGGAGTTCCAGCCTTTCATGCTGAGTACCGTATACAGTAAAATTCATTTTCCTGAAACAAGAATTTTCCTATATTATCTGTTATTACAAATCATCTGAAGTGATGGGTGAAATATCAATGGGAAGTTCCGTGGATCGGTGGACGTGTCCAAATGACAGGCAACTGGCATTGAGGGCAAAGTAAGTTAATTTTTATCCCTAATAATATAAAATGGTTGCGATAAATGTATAATTCTTTGTGCTATTGATTAATAATTTTAAAATAATTTATTAATGACTTTATATGGGTTTTGTAATTCACACGTGCAATTTGTCCACACTGGGCCACAAAGTGTAAAATATAGATACTGAAATTATGATCATAATGATATTATTTTAATAAATATAATGTAATTGATGAAGATATCAAAAGTTATAATTAATTGATGATATTGATTATATAAGGTATGGCTGAACATTTATTGCAGACCAAAAATAACGTTTTTATTTCAAATTTGTATGACCTTGACAATAATATTTCATAGTATTATTTGTTTTTTGATGATACGAAACTTCAAAATACAATTTAATATTAAAGAAATGTGTCATGATGTTATGCAAAATAAAATTTACTAACTAACATAACAACGCTTATTTGAGAATGGTACCTGAGAATCAAGATTTTTGTTGCGCTTATTCAAGAGTCGCAGTAGATTGACTGTCTAATAATCATTGCTAATCACTGTCTAGTATTTTATAATTGAGGCTGGCAATATGTGACATTTCTGGAGAAAAATCTATATAGTGTTGCCAATATTAAGTGATTTTCTCAGAATACCAGCCTATCTTAATATATAAGTATGCAAGGTTATTAATGGCGGATCCAGGAATTCAAAATAGTGAGGGCCCAGGAAAGAACTTTCACAGATCAAGGGTCTATACCACCTCAGCCCGACAATGTTTGAGGATGAGGTATGAAATTCAATGGCTATGGCACCTCTAGATGGCCAATAATGGCACCCTCAAACATTAATTTGAATATAATTTTCAGTTTTTTTTTTATAGGGGGCCTGGACCAGCTGGGCTCCGTAAATCTGCCACTGGGTTGGTAACCTTGAAGGAAGTAAATTTCTTAGCAGAGCAAAGTTGATTGTCTATGTACAAAGTACTGAGGTGGTATACGTAATAATTTTAGCATTAAAAATGTACAATATTCCAAGATATTGATCTTTGTATGGACCACAGGAAGTAGAGAAATTTGTATTGATTATAAATCATAATTAGTAAAAGCACTTGGCACAGCGGCCTTTCAACCTTGAGGTTGATCCGTCTTTGGCAAAATGCTTGCAAGACACTATCAACAAAGTACTACTTCACTGACGGCAGAACACTGCGTAACACGCCTTCTTTAACACTGCGCAACCGAATGATATAGCTCCTTCAGGGCAAAACAAATTCAACATTTCAATTGCATAAAATAAATATAAAAATTGACCGAAAATCACATTTGCACATTGTATTTATTACATGTACTTACATTCCTATCTTTAAAAAAATCTTAAATATATATCTAGGCATATATTTATTATGAATTTTAATTTAAATATTCATCAACTAACATCTTTTATTAAAAGAATTTTTTAATAACAATTTTATTTTTTCATACATTTGTCTTCTTTCATATTTTATTCACATAGAAATAAATTTTACATAATAATGATTATAATGCTGTACAACAAGCAGATGCTGTCACACTTAGTTTAGTAAAATATTTGGCAAATTAATCCTTAAAAATATGGAAAACATCAAATATTACTTCATTTATCAGTCCTTAATCATCATAAATCAAAAATATTTCAATTTCAATTTATTCAAGAAAACCTCCGGGACAGAGAAGTAAAAACAAGGTACAACAAAAACAATTCATTAAAATGGACAATTTCGTTACAAGAACCACAACATAAAAAAACACGAAAAATGTTTACAAATTCTTAAAAAATACCAACAAAATTCAATTACATCAATAAATATACCAGAATGTACTGATTTTTAAAGAAAGCATTTCATTAAATTATATTTTTATATGAAATTGTGGTGGGCAGAAAAATTTCAGAAACCAGAATTATATTTTCTGAAAGTTTAGACTTTCTACTTTAATTTGATACCAAATTTGTTTTGTTATCACCAATTTAAAAAATTAGGTGTCATAATAATAATAATAATGCCCTGTTTTTGCATGGAATTTTTCTTCAGCTAATGTAAGCTACAATTTACATAGTTTTCTATAACTTAGGGTAACATTATAGCTCATTGTATCTTTATGTTTGCATTGTAAAGCGTTTAAATTCTTATTATTTTTTCAGACTAAACACTGGATGGTCATTTCATACCAAGGCCTCGCAGAGGTACAAAAAAGGTGACTCGTTGTCTCAAGATGAACATGAGAGAATTCTTTGTGTAATTCAGAAAGCCGAGAAGCTGGATTTCCTGGAGCAGGAGCGAATTGGGTTTGTATACTTTCAATATCAATTTCAGTATTAATACATAATTAACGTGAAGGTAGCACGTTGCAGACTAATATTCAATTTATTTCACAAGCTTTGTATAATTTACTATGTATCTGGTTTATTTCAACAATTGTTGTTAAATAATAATAATATAATATTTATTTTATTTAATATTTTCTAATATTATAATAAGCATCATTAATAATACATTTAATTTATAATTGATCTTGTTGTACATTATGCCAAACATTAAACAGTTGTACAGTTTCGTAACATTTGTAACAGTATGATTTTTATATAATACTATGTACTATATCTGGTTATATTTCAACAATTGTTTTTATTTTTAATATTATAATCACTCATCATTATTAATAATACATTTGATTTGATAACGGCGGGAACGGTTTGTTTTCCCAACCTTGAGGTCGGGGTTTCAATCCCCTCTCTGTGAATTTCACTTGTGTCCTTGAGCAAGGCACTTTATCTGCATTGCTTCCCTCCAACCAGGAGTATAAATGGGTACCTGGTGGGTTTGCCTGCTCCTGCGCTGATTACCAGCAGAAACACTTAGCATGTGGACCCAATGACCAGGGAAAGGAACTGCACTTTATAACCTCAAAGAAGAGGTGCATTATAAATACCCATACCAATAACAGTACCAGTATTAATGCTCTACATCGTGCTAACATAAACAGTTGTATCTTACATATTAACAGTATTTTTTTATATTATTTAAACAATATGGCTATATAATGTTTTTTAACGCAGACCTCCCAAGTTCAAAAAAGCCACTTCAAAGTGATCCGTTTTATTGAGTTTTCTTATAAAACACATCAAATTTATTGTTTTTTGCTGCTTGAGATTTGTACAGTTAAAATTCCCTTAATACATGATTTATTCTTAACATCCTTGAAGTAATAACGTGAAAAATCAGACGAAAAAGTAATATAATGGAGAAACACAGGCCTAAAATACTAAATATTATTTTACATTTAGTTGAGGTAAAATCTTTTTTTTTTTCAATTGCTTTTAGTCAGTTTCAAAGAACACATAAATATTCATGAGATCAGAAATTACCAAATGTTGCACTTTTGATCACTATGGAAATGCGCTATAAATATTATTGAATTAGTGTTTTGAAGAAATTATTGTCCCACAATACAACAGTATTCATTATTCGTTTGGATCAAAAAAGACAAAATTAAAGAGAAAATCAGACTAAAACTCTACAACTCACTAGTCAAGCCAATACTTCTCTACAACAGCAGCACATGGAGACTAAAGTAAAAAAACGAAGAAAAACTCAACATATTCCACAGGAAACACCTCCGACAATTGATAAAAATAAAATATCCTCACAAAATTTCAAATAAAAAACTACTCTAGATGCCAATACCGACCAATTTCACTAGACATTTTGGAAGCCCGGTGGCGATTGATGGGACACACCCTAAGACAGGATAACTCAACACCCACGAACACAGCTATTGATTATTATTTCAGCATGACCACTAATATCAAATTCTGGGGAAGACCAAGAACTACATTACCGATCACCTTACATAATGACCTCACAAAACTTAAAAATCTCAGCCAGTCAACATCACCATGTCACACATCACTCAAGAACACGAGGGAATTAAACGAATTAAAGAACACAGCAAAAAACACATCAGACTGGAAAGAACTTATCAGAAACATAAGCAGAGCAGCCGAGGCGTAGATGTTGAATTGGCTTCTCAGCGGAACGGCAATATCATCATCATCATACAACAGTAAAAAGTACATGATCTGGTCGGCTTGTGGGAAGTCACATATTCCTGGCTCTGTTTTGATTGGGCAGGTTGTCAAGTTTCATCGTTGACATCCCAGAAAGGTCCAACTCCACTCCATATCATATAGCCTTATGATATATTCCAACATATTCTATGATTGATTATTGCCTTCACTGTCAAGGACAAGTAAAAAAATTAATTGGTTTCTCATCACGTTTACACTCAGTTCTTTTTTTTTCCTTTTTTTTTTAAATATATATATTTTAATTCATATTTTGTTAACACGTTGAAATTTTAAAATAATCTTAATAACATCAGTATTATAATAATACTGATAACGAGTATCCTCTACTTTGGCCTTGTATGATCAGATTCAACGATCTACCAATAATACAATCTCATTGAAACATTTTTGCTGGTAAATTTGTCCATAAAAATTTAGCTATTCGTTCAGCATGAGGCATTTTACCCCTTTTGAGTGGGGTTTAATGACTTGAAAAAACAACACATATACTCATGGCCTAGACATAGACTACTGTAGAATGATGTTCACTTATTGGGATCTCTATTAATTCAAAAAATTGAGATGAGAAAATGTTAAAAAATTATAAGTAAAAACCCCTGTTATAATATGTATCTTTCTATCTAATTTAAAACTCACTCATCTATCAGATGACAATGTTACAATCCACCAACTTATTCTTGCATTACATTTCATATTATTTGGACACTTTGATTGAACTAGCTTTAAGATAAATACGATTGATGGTGTAGTCTATAAATAATAGTTGACGTGTAAATTTTTTAATACGGTCTTTTTAGCTGAACAAACCGACTGCATTGCACGCTGTGCTTTACTGCTGTTGAATTATTGATTACTTTTTTCCCGAGTCACCTTGGTGATTATGTAGTGCGCTTCTTATTCATGAATTTATAATAATTTGCTGGTTAATACTTACTTAAAGGCCTTCGCTCCTCTAGGAGCCTCTCTGTTGACTATTTCTCTCTAATGCACCCTGTCTTGTGCAATAATTTCCCTCTGTGCTACATGTCACCTTCAAATTCTACAATCCTGGTGCCATGTTTACAAACACAGGTTTCGTTTTCCTGCCTAATTTACATTTTTCTCACAATATTTATGAAGTCTATTGTACAGGGACCAAAAAAAAAAAGAAATTAGCTGGCTCATTTGGACCAGGTTATACCTTGCAAATCAACCATTATGTCTCCTTTCATGGTTTTGTTTACTGTCGTTTCTAAGTCTTACTATTGCATATACAGATTTGTTATAAATTGTTTTTGCATTATTAGGATGAAAGTTTTTTGCATCCATGAATGTTAATAAAGATGAAATATATACTTGAATATTAAATTGAATTGGAATAAATAAATGATATTTCATTCATAGTTTACTTCATAATTTTCTTCACTTCACGGAAGCTGCTATTGATCATGAGCAAAATCCTGTCTCCGTACAGGATTTGAACCCAGGACCCTGGGATGTAGGCAAGTGTCTTTACGGCCAATAGCTCCACTGTTGAAAGGGAAAGGAAAGATATTATCTAAATATTTTTTTCCTCACAATATTTCTATTGTAAATCAGCATTTTAAGACAATTAACTCAAAAGTAAATCAGTATTTTTTTTTATTCATTGTATGTTTTCTTAATTTATTATTCTGCACCTGGTATATAGTATACAGTTGGGAAATTATGTTGATTGTTCTTCCACTATGGAAACTCATAGGGTTATGAAACTGTATATATTACTGTATTTCTTGTATATTTATGTTGTCTCCCTGAAAATTAATCTAAAATCTAGAAATTATGTTAATCATTCAATTTACATAATACATCAGATTACTGTATAATGCCTAATGAGTTGTTCAAAAGAGTAGATACAGTATGTTAACAGATTATTTTAAGTAATTGCAAAGCCAAAGCAAAATCATTACTTTTTTCATTTGCATATCTTCACTAGAATTATTACTACTGTCCATAGATTACAGTGTAGTGTATTTGATTAAAGATCAGTTCCAGTACCAACGTTTTCTAAAAAATTAATTACTTTTCCAGAAATATACAGATGTTTAGAGTAATTAAACATTAATCAGGTTTTTATTTTCATGATCTGAGAAGATGCTTTAATTATAGGCCAGTTTTTTGTATACAGTATCCTTGTTTTCAGTCGGTGGCATGTCAACCATGGTCTAAGACACAAAGGAACTTACTACACTACATTGACAACTATGAAATCACAGTATTTCCATTTGAAACTTAAGTAAATCCACATTAACTTAAAATATAAAACAGCTCACTTCCAAAATAAAAAAAAAAGAATTCATGAATAAACATTACTCTGTAGACACATATACAAGAGTATTCTTTACTCAGCGATAGTATTTTTACCAATCATAAACCTGAGATTAATTTTGTTGACGTCTTTAATGGCCGTTTTGAATATTGTATGCTAGATATAAGCGGCTTTTGTTACTGTAATTTGCACGAGGCTGACAGTATTGCATAATATTTCAATGCACTCAGCACGAATATTCCGCTATGTCCATTAATCGATCCATGATGACGTCGTTGCCTGACAGTATTGCTCCAAGTCTACCGACTTAAGATCACTGCATCATCATATTGAAATCAGATTATGTTGAGCAGATGAATATTTCTTTATACATTTTTTTTTTACTGGCCGGCTTTACGGCACTATATATCTTATTTTATCTTGTATCGTATACAATCCAACCTTCGTAATAGTGATGATCTAGTATCAGTATATGATGATAAATACTGTTAAGTTATACTTTGAGACCACCTTCCGATTACTAGATAAACTGACACATTATAATGAAGGTTGAAGTTGCTACAATTATCTTTATTTTTTAACCTTTATGACATATTATTTTCTTGATTGTAACTTGCAAATGTTGACCTCATGGGAGATAACGTTATATTGAATGAGCCATCAAGGATAAAGAAAGATTTAAATTGAATGATAACAAATTCAAATTGCATTCTTATACCCTATTCACGCAAGACGAAATATTGAACGTGATTTGTATTGTAGAAAATTTAGCAAGCGTCCCCTGGTACGTGTCGGTGTGTGTAGCATATCTGGGTAAAGATTATTAAACATTCTAGGGAGGAAAACAAAACAAACATCACAGAGGCCTGTAATGGTCTTGATATATTTATCATAGATTTGTGTTCTTGGT